CATCAAACAAACCCTAAATATTTTCAAATTAATTTAGAGCCACTTGGAATTATTTTGAAGTTTTGCTCCATTAGTATCAACTGCTATTGTACATTTATTTTGCATATGAAAACCTATGACTCCATTTCATTTATTTTCTTTTGACAAAAAAATTGAGTCTACAATATTTTGATAATTTTCAGCTTAAACAGGTGTGAAATGGGCTTCTGTCATTATGTTTTAATGTTTTCAGGTCTTATTATGCAATCATAGTTAATTTATGTTCATATTTCCAAGTTTCCTGTCTAGAGTCAAAAGTCCTTAAAGAATCAGGAAGACCTAACTAAGTCAATAAATTGTTCTTAACTAATTATGATGTTTTACTCCGAGGATTGAAATAAGCTTTGCGAAAGTTTATAAGCTTTCTAACCATCTTTCAGATTTTATGATGCAAGTCTGATACTAAGAAATCAGACCAGGCATTTAAAATGTTTGAATTACTCCAGGCATAGAACTTGGAATATCCATTGTTTCTAGAAAAAAAACCAACAAAATTCAGACCTATTTTTCACTTCATTCAAACCCTACCTTTACAACCCTCAAGAATATCACAATCATTGGCATGAACATGAAACCACAAAGCACAAGAATTGATCATGAAACAGTTTACTTGTCGGGAAGAAATCTCAAATCTCATTGTTCCCTGTTTTTGATTACTCAAAAATTATACATCTTGGATGTAACTAGCAGCTATTAAGTAGAATGATCTTATAAGAATGCATTCCTGATCACACGACTTTTCACTGTCAAGGGTGTTATATCTTGGTCACAGCCACCATGGAATGCATGGCATTGTAAAGAATGTTCGAAAAATTATCTTCCACATTTTCCACAAATTCACCAGAAGGGACAAATAAGTAGAGCTAACAAAACAAAAGACTCTTAAACTCCAATGCTATGATGTACAAAACAAAAAACAAGTGTTCTACCACAAAGTCTCACAAACTAACAATAATATGCAGACATTTTCATCAGTTTTTGGTGAGCTTTTTAAAACAGTAACCACCAAGCTTGAAATAACGATCATAACCATTAAAAAAAATCACTATAAACATTACAGATTCAATCAAACACCCCCATCATACGGCGGTGGTTGAATGTGGAAGCACATTCAGATCCTATCATGTGCCTGGTGCCACAATGCAGTTCTAAAACCAACATGGCTACCTCATCTCCAAATTTATAGTTAAATATATCACCAACTCCATTAATCTCTCTGCCTTATCACCAACTCCATTAATCTGTACAGAATCAAAATGACTAAAAACTTTTCATTCCTAGTAATTCCCATTCTTTCATTCTCTAAGCTACCAAAAATATCCTAAAAGAGTTCAAACAGGTGAAAAATAAAAAATATAAAAACCAACTAGATCAAAATCAAAGGCATTCTGTTAAAAAAAAAAAATACTAACCTTTTTAACAGAAGCGGACCAAGAAAGAGTGAGTCCCAGAAAGACGATAAAGAAAAAGGGACCCCACAGATCCCAATCTCTCAAAGCCTTACCCGGATCTTCTCGATACGGGTTAGGAAACACAACCAGCTTCAAATTACTCACAATCCTAGAAAGATCTCTTTTTACGGTATCCCAAACTGGCTCCGTCAACGTGTTCGGAGGGGACCCGAACCCGGTTGCAGAAAAATTGCCACCGGCAGAGTTGCCAGAGCTAGGTGGGAGAGGAGGTAGAGGGGCGGAAGGGATGATGGATGGCGGTTTCTGGATGGTGGGTTGTGGTTTCGGTTGAGGTGGAGGGAGATTTGATTGGATGAAGGGAGAAGTGGATACGGGTATTCGGGGAGGGCTTGGTGGGCGGGCGGGCAGGACTGTTGAAGGACTGGATTGGATGGAGGAGTTGATTAGGTTCTCGATCTCGTCGATGTCTGATTGAGAAGATGCGTGGAGAGGGATCGTGTCGCTGTTGTGCGACATTTTTTGGTTATTTTCCGGGAAAATGTGGTGTTTTGTTTTCGCGGGAAAGTGATGGAAAAAAGGGTAGTTCTGTTTTAGATCTGATCGTAAGAGAGAAGAGGATCCGGTGTTTTTAATTTATGGATCGTGAAGGAAAGGTTTTGTTTGTGTGTTTCGGGAGGGAGGCTGGAAAACGTCGTCGTTGTAAATGCATTATGGAAAGTTAGTTATTTTTTAAATTGTTTTTTTAATATATTAAAATAATATTTTTTTATTAAAATTTATTTTTTATATAAACATATCATATATAAAAAATAATTTAAAACAAAAAAAATTTATTTTTTTAGAAAAATACTTTATAATCAGGAAAATAAATGCCAATAAAATAAATGCAATTTCTCAATAATAAAGCAACTACTAAAGATTTATTTAGAATTATAATAGTAGTTATAATTTAAAATATTTTTTATTTAAAAATATATTAATATAATTTTTTTATTTTAAAAAATTATTTTTTATATCAATATATCAAAACTATTCTAAAAAATATAAATTTTAAATAAAAAAATTTAATTTAAAAAAATGAGTTAAATTGCATTTTTAAATTAGCTCTAAATAAACTTTTTAAAAACTAGATTTCTCATAAAAAAGCTATGAATAATGAAATAAATGTTGGTAAACGGTGCATTTACAATAAATATCCAAGCTAATTCAGTTCATTTAATTTCAATCCTTTTCATTACTCTTTTTTTAAGCCAAACCCTTAATTTTATTTCGTAATGTAAAGTAGAAATAATATTACACATGTGAGAACATATAAATGAAACAAAACCTAACACTTGAAACTATGCCAACAAGATAGCAATTACATTAAAAAAAGTAAAACTTAATGACAAAAAAGAAAAAGAAGAAAAACTTTAGGGATCCGAAGGATCCTAAAACTTAATGACAAAAAAGAAAAGGAAGAAAAACTTTAGGGATCCGAAGGATCCAATGTTGGTGAACAGTGGATGTACAATAATTAACCAAGCTAATTTAATTTATAGTATTAATAATTAATAAATCCTAGAAGTATAATTAACGTACAAATTCATTATCGCTTAAATGAGAACTCAGAAGATTCGGTACAATGGAGCTTGTCAAGGCAAAATATTTTCAAATCCCAGGTTATCAAATGTACACTGTAAATACTGGTGAAGACATCAGTTCATATCCGATTTCCATTCGACTGATTCAAGCACACACTGGTCTCCGAAAGACGAGGGATTTTGTATAAAACTAGCAGAGTTTTTTATTAAAATATTTCAGCATATAACACAGAGGATAAAAAAAATATTAAAAAAATAATATATTTTTACTTAATTGCCAATAAAAATAGTAGTGGTTTAACTACCTTATTAATATCTATATTAAACAACGCTAATAACAACTGCAGAAAATCGGTACACACTCGGTGAAAGATGAGAGAAAAATGGGAATGCAATTGAGGGCAGCATAGTCTATGTTGAGTAGCTTGCGGGAGGCACGTGAGAGACAGAATGGAGACAGTGTTGAACCGAGAGAGTAATGAAGGCAGGGATGGAGACACTCGGAACGAAGGCGGTTTCTTGACTTCGAATCTACACATTTCCGTCTCTTGCAAACCAGGGAGCAAGAGTTCCTGTCAAGGCAGGCAAGCTTCCTAGACACACTGCCCAAGCACTCGAAAGGAAGACATTAGGTCAAGTCGCCGTCCCCGTCAATATTACTGTTGTTTTTTCCAATGATAATAGGCTTGTAAATCTCATGGCCATTATTGCACGAGCATGAAGAAGAGGATTGGCCCATCCCCAGTCCCTACCTCTCCTTCAAGACAACTTCCCCTCTTCTTCTTCTTCAATATATATAATCTAGAAATTAAAGAAAAAGCATCTGCCGAGTAATTTGGATGGATTGTTTATGATGAGCTGGAAGGAAGCATATGAAAAGAAGCAGCAGTTATAATTACATGGCTGCGTACCAATTATATTGACTGAAGCAGTAAACAGAACCACGATTATATTAAAATCATAATTCAGAATAAAAGCTCTTTTAAAACTATGCTATTTTCATTTTTCAATAAAATAAAATAAAATTCAGAAGACTAGAGGGAAAAGGTCCGAATCATGTAGCTGGCCTAGTCCTCTTCCAGATCAGGTAGTGGAGAGATGGATTGGATTACCAGAATCATGGCAGTCGTCTGCACACATGGTTACTGATAAGAATACAAAAGTAACGCGAACAGACCAGTAATTATATTAGGGCAGTGAATCAGCTGGCAAAAGTAAAAACATTTATTCCACGAGGCATCACGCGGCTGAAATATCAGGAGAGATTAAGCATCCTTTACACTGCATCCTCGAGAATTCAATTGCAAAAAATAGTATTATGATCTCTTGTTTCTTTTCCGAAAGCTTATCAAAATTGGGTTCAATCTCCCAAACAATACTTGAGAACTTTTTCACCATTCACTTGATCTTTTGGTTTACCTACATGTACAAGGTAAAAACTTGAACCCTCCTCGGGTTCTGGAAAAAATATAACAGGATTCCGGTGTTCTTCAATTCAAGTTGCTGAACAGAATAAAAGTTGGTTTCACATTCATGGCTTGAGAGCAAGAGCAAGGCCAAACTTGGGGGCTGCCGCATGGGTGGCCTTTGGGTCATACTCGGCTGAGAAAGTTATAAGCGACTTTGGTCTCCATTCATGTTGGCATAGCATTGCAGCCTTGCCATTGTCAGAGAATCGTGTTTTTACCACTGTAAATGGATCCACTGCATGAGAACTTCCAATGGTAAAACTGTTCTCAAAGGAGGAAAGCCTGTGAGTCATTTCTGCGGCAACTGAATGTAAGGGGTTCACTGAATGAACATAAGATGCCTTGAGAGTTTGTCCTTTGTCCGTCCTACATAGCAAAGTCGAGCTTCAATTTAAAGGCATGTCAAAGCAAACTTTACACCAATAAGACATGAAAAGGCCTAAAATGTAATAACAATAATAACTCCTAGCGCCTGTGAATAATTATTTAGCTGCTTCTGATGAGTTTATACTAAAAAAGAACAAGTACCTTTACTACTAACAAATCTAATACTGTAACTACTGCGATTTAAGAATATTCATTTTGTCTTTAAATGGAGATTACTCAGCTTGGCAGGAAAAATACAAAGCATTTTGCATGGGTAATTAGGTGTCCATGTTTCATAGAAAAATAACAATTTGGCAAATTTTACAAAAAAAAAGCTCATACCTTTTAAGACAAAAGGCACGACATATAAAATATTAAAACAGAAGAAGGAATAAATACTCTTTTAACAAGAGAGAACAAGCTTTACGTATGCTTACAGTAAAAATGCAGCAGAGAAGTCTGGCTTGTTCAAGCCAATCCCAGCATTGCACTTGACAAATGAAGAAGAAGCAGTATCAAATCCAACTTCACCACCCACACTAAGATTGTTGCTTCCAATTGCAGCTGAGAGCTCCAAAAGAGGATTTGGATTGAGGCCAATGCTGGAATCAATGGCTGCATGATGATGAAGGTACTGCACATCCAGCTGCGACTCAACAGACAGAAAAAAGTCAGATTTTCAGCACACAATTTCATAAAGGTTATCCACAATTAGCAAGTACTTCTACAACAAAATGAAATCTAACGAGCTTTTCTTGGTTATTATGTTCTACCAGAATCTCAAACCTGTTCCCAGTTAATTTAAAACATAACAGGTGCTTCTTTCCACTAGTTCATTTTTTCATGTAAATCTAGTAAATTTCAAGCAAGGAGGTTTCATTCACTCACAAGGAAAAAATGCCACAAGTTATTTCACCTTTGTAATTCATTGTTATTGGAAAGATGATTGATGTTAGGAAAAATTAAGTAGAACATGGAGATACAGACTTCACTAAATGAAGGTGTCTTCAATAATATGAGTTTTTTCCTGTGCATTCTTTGGACTCAGACTATCAGAAAGTCCTTTAAGAGAACTTGGGGGCTAGCCAGCAGAGTCATTACTGAGTAAGAGTAATCTAATCTGCCTGCCTCAATTCAGTACTATAGCCTCACATGTAGTTTAAGGAAGAATCCCGGATACAAAGTCATTCAGATTATCATTCTACATATTAAAAACTCATGCTAATTTGCTGCTGTCTCGGAAAAACTTGACTCTTGCTCAGCATTGCTGCAACCATGGTTGTTAAAAAAGTGTTTTAACACTAAAATCATCACATTTTGGGATTTGGAATATGCTAACCATGTTACAGCGTTTAAACAGTTGCAATGTTATAAAATCATTGTTGTTTGGCATTTCAGCACATTGGAACAGTTGAATTCACATGCCAACCATATTTTGGGCCTTTTTAACTTAATGGCTCACTCAGACTAATTGGGCCCAAATATTAGTTCTTATAATAAAAGAGAAAGGAAACAATAATAATGCCAGCATTCATGACCCCATGGAGTTGGCCTAGCAGAGATGGCCTGGGAATTGGCAGTGTGCTTCCTTTCCAAGATCCCACTCTTGCCAGATGCAAACAATTTCATGGGGCCATCAGACTTGGACAAAGCCCATTATTTAACCATGGTGCAATTGTAGGAAACTCCTTGCCAAGGGCCTGTGCACCCCCAGGATTAGTCGGGCCCTAGCCTGTATACCTGGTGCTAATTCAAAAAAAAAAAAATGCCAGCATTCATGGTAGGGACAACTATTTATGGAGCCCATTTCAAAAAAAATAAATAAATGCCATTGCTGGCAGATTAATTAACCATCCTTTTCTTTCCATCACACACTTTAAAATTTTTAATGATATTGTAGATGAGGAGTTGCAAGTTTTTTTCCCCTCTAAACCACCAACCTTTAAAGCTCAGTGGGCTTTATTTTAAGAACCAACATCATCTACCAAACCTTGAAAGATTTTCATGTGCACAAACATGAGAATCATTAAAGCATGATTGATAATTGTGGATTTATTCTCTTCAATGGGATGTTTGAAAGTGTGGTAGTGATTGTTTTTCAAAGTATTTTTTGCTTGGAAATGCATTAAAATAATATATATATATATATTATTTCAGCACATCAAAACAATTAAAAAACACTAAAAAAAAATAATTTGAAGCAAAGACGAATTTCAAATTTTGACAAAGAGCTGGTTGAAACTCAAGGCCAAACACCCCCAATTTTTATTTTTTTTTGGTGTGTGTTTCAAGTACGTGGTTATCAACTAGAGCAAGAGCAGACGATTAATTTCATGATGACTTTGCCTTGTATTTTTTTTTTTAAATATGAAAAATAACTAACAATGTTCTATGAGGGAAAATGATCGTACATGATATTGTAACACCTACAATCATGAAGTCCCAAGTTCAATTGAAATTTTACCTTTCACTTATTTATATGATTAGGATACTATTAGATCTAAGCTTAATCCGATCACATGCATTTTCCCTCGTCTTCTATATGATGTTAGCACTTGTTTAATTCCATCACTAGCCATACCCAACTACGGAAAACAACCATGGAAAATACTATTTATTTGTAGTACTTGCTTGTTAAGTTCCATTTTCATTCAGCTTTATGCTTCCTTTTGTTGGTTAAAACTTTAGGATGAGTTGCATGTCACAGTGAATAGTAGTATGGTATGACTCGTAAAAAGTAAAAAGAAAAGGCCATTACCCAGCTATGGATCAACTGAATGACACTAGATAGATTTTCCACTTTAAGCAACATGGAAAGGCTCTATAAAGTACAGATTGATAACAAGATTACCAAATTCTGAAAGTAAGAAAAATTACTGGGAAGTCATGCAAGGAACAAGTAACTTCCAATACAAATGCATCCCTAACAGTTCCATGCACATGCAGCATGCAAATTCTTATCATAATTTTTTTTTGTTGTTGCACAATTTAAAATGCACTGACCTTGCCAGACTTGTGATCAGGTATTTTGAAACTAAATGCTGCTTTAGTGCTGGGTAAAATGTCATTGACAGTCACTTTGGTAGACACCTGTCAAAGAGTTACACATAGAAACAGATCAGCATACCATCAAGGCACCTGAATGCAAATAATTGAGCATTGACTATATTTCCAAATGACCATGGTAAGAGTAAGAATTCAATCGTAGTTAAGTGAGTGAAAAAGCCAAAAATTCTGATCAATTACAAGAACTTCTTTCTTACAATGGAATAGGTATCAACTTTCACATCCACAACAGTATTCTTGCTCCTGTACAAGGTGCTTATATCACCAATAAAAATTTCATCCTTCTTCAAACCTGTGGCTGTAAACCCCTGCACATGCAGTATAAAGATATATTTTATTAGATAGCATCACAACCTCATCATTCGAACTCTAAATGCTTCTTCTTTTAAGAGAAACAATAACATCAAAATTTATTTATGAATGGGGTCCTATTTTCTGAAAAACAGGAGCACTATGACAACCTTGCATGCCCAATTCCCACATCAAATATTTAACACTGAGAAAAGAAAATTCTAAATAATCGACTGGCATGCCAAATCAGACTTTACCTAATCTCTTTCATTAATTAGCTTCAATATTCCAAACATGTTTGAAGATACATTCAATGACTGGTGTCCTTAAAAGTCATTTGGATTATCTAAAGTACCATTCCTTTAGATAAACAACAGGAATGAATGAAAGCAAATACATGAGAATGAGTTCCGAAAGAAAATCTATCTGGTTCTTTCTTTCATTAACTTGTTGATATTGGTCAAGGTCATCAAGACTAAGAAGATCTCTCCTGAGTTTGGTTAACCTTGCAAAACCAAGTCATTTTCAATCATTTATGGCCTTTCAGCTTTGTTTCAAAAACACACTCTTTCTTTCCATGCGCACAACACTTAAACACTCATTCCAATTTGAAAGATATGTCTTCTCACATGATCAGGAATATTTCTTATCTCTATCCAGCTTGATAGTTTTTGTGGCGTTAGTCAATAGTTTCTATAACCAATCATGACCTAACACTTCACTAATATCTTAACACTTAGAATGTCAAACATGTACTTAGAGCGGACATAGAATCGAACCATAGGATTTGCACCTGCTCAAATATGCATCCCAACACTCAACATATAAATCATTTAAAAGTACTTGTGGTTCGACATTCTAATCAAGTGTATCAGATATTAGTCCAGTGAGTTGCAAGCATCAACAGTTAGTATGTATAACATTTACAATTTCAAGGAGAAAACACACATAGATCAATAGTTCACTGCCTTAACAAGAGAGTATGTAAAACCATATACAAAGCATTTTGGTGTGAAATCTGAAATACCCAGACAGATATCCCCTAAACAAATGTTATTATGAAAAGCAGTGAATAAGGAGATGTAAATTCAATGGTACCATTCCAGTAGAACTCAGAATTGACAGGGTAAACTTGTGATCATAGTTGTAATCTTTGGTCAAGAGGTCTGCATGAGATAAGCAATGTTTGCGAAAAATCAGAAGTTATAGCTAAAGCAAATTTGTAAAAGCCTAATTCAGTCAACACAGCATCAACAATGAGAGACAATATACATTAAAAGTCACTCTCTCTAAGAAAAAAAAGTAACAAACATTTTACAGGAAGGATTGCTACCTTAAGTCCAAGGTTATGGTTACATATTTTCAATCCAAGTGATGTAGTGTATTACTTTGTGTAATAAATAAATACTGGAATTGATTTTCCCTTTGACAGATTAATAAAAAAAAAAGTGTTTTTTTCTCAAAGTTTAGTCACGCCATAAAAAAAGGTCAAACCTCAGGTAAAATTTCAATAGTGGAAACTCCATATCAAACCATTAGGCATTCACAGATAAGCACATAGATGAACACATCAAAACATCCATGTCCTAGCATCCAAACACGCATCTGGTATCACAAGAAAATAAAACTACATGGTTACATATAAACACCCATATAAAAGATACCTTTGGCTCTTTTGCCAATATCTGAAAATGGAGCTGGTTTGCTGCCCATCTTTAATTAGGAAGAATGATTTGCCAACTATACCCTGTAAAACCAAGACAATTCACATGAGCCACAGACCAAAAGGAAGCCATTTATCAACAACACAGGAAAGAAAAGAAGAAACAACACGAGAAAATGATAGATGCCCTCGCAAAACACTTGTGTTGAGGCATATACGATAGTAACGATACAAGCCTTTGCAAAACACTGCATCTACATACATAGGTGCACAAACCACCATTAACATCAAAATGAGAACGAAAAGCATTATATTATATCCTAAAGTAAAACAGAACCAATCATAAAACAAAAGCACCCACCATTTCCATTATCATTTAAGCACTGCGATGACTTCCTAAACTACTCTACT